GATTTGTTGCCCTTAGTCTTTCTTTCAATTCTTGCGCGTAATCGTCGTAATTATATGTCGGTTTAGGCGGTCTCGTCAGTGACGTAGGTAAATCTGCTTGGTGCCCATAGACTAATTCGAAGGGTGTATACCCCGTAGCTGTGTGTGGCGTCGTATTGTATGTGAACATTGCGAACGGTATCCATTCGTCCCAGTCTGTCTGGTCTTCGTTTATGTAATGTCTTAAATATTCCGCTAATGTTCGATGCGATCGTTCTAATGCGCCGTTACTTTCCGGATGGTAGGCGGTTGTCTGTATTTTATTTATTTTTAATAATTTACATGTATTTTTAAATATTTCGCTTAGGAAATTTGTGCCTTGATCCGTTAAAATTTTTCCCGGAATTCCATGTTCGAGAACAATTTTTGTAACGAATTCTTTACTGACCGTGTTCGCTTCTTGATCTGGAATCGGTATCGCTTTACTGAATTTGGTTAAATTGTCTTGAAATGTTAATAGACATTTATTTCTGTTGGTGGTTATTGTTAACGGTCCTACGATGTCTAACGCGCATTTTTCGAAAGGTTTAGTCGGTGTATCCTTGATTATTGTTGTGCCTCTAGCCGCTAAGGAAGAGGTCTTTAGGGATTTATACGCCCAAAGGATTAGGATCCATGCTCGAAATAAGACACTCCCGAACGTTTTATTCATAAATTGATATATTTCACAGATTCTTGTACACTTTCACTTAGTCGCGATTATAATAGTCGGGCGCGATACGTACATGGTAATTATTATTATTATTATTATTCCTGTGCAACTTGAAGCTACGGGATATATAACGTGTTCGTTAGTAGTAAAATAATTGTTATTTAAGTCTTCGTTTGTTTCGTCAAGTCTTTCGCTTAGGTCCCTTAATTCTGTCGGGTTTCTAATGACTTTTCGTAATTTTATCGGTCTAATTTTGTCCAATATTTTTTCGTTTCGTTTGTCATGTGTCATCGTAAGATTGTAATCTGGTAGATTTGTCTGTACGATTGTTATTATCGCGGGCTTTTTTGTCCGTATTATGACGTCTTGCGTTGTTAATTTACATTTTTCCTTTAATGTGATTTGTCCGCTTCTTTTTATTTCTAGTTTTCGCGTTGCGTCGTTTTCGCACGTTATTTCGATCGGTTGGTTTGCTCGTGTAGAGTATAACCATGAGTTCGCATTACTCAGCGCTGTCCATATTGTTGTATTCGTGTGTATGTGTCGAATATTACAATTGTTTGTGTATGTCTCTAACTGTACATACGCTTGTACTTCGCATAGCGCTCCTTCGTCTAAATAATGTATGGGATAATTTTGTTCGCAAACATATTGGTCATTATTTCGCACGCATTTATTTAGATCGTTTTCGGTAGGCGTAAAATACGTTCGGCTATCTACATCTATCGCTATTATCGGTTGATTTACTTTTATAAATATAAATGTATTATTGAATTTGTGCGTAGGTAATGGGATTGCCTTTATTATTTCATACTCGGGGTATGTGATTAGCGGAATCTTTATAATCGTAAATATATTTGTATTATCGTAGTATGCGCTAATTGTTAAGAACTTTTCGATTGTTCTCCAATTTTCTGCGGATATTTGAAATGGGAAGTGCGTTCCCTGCGGTATTTGTGACGCTGTTTCCTTGAGGTTATCTAGGATGCTTCTTATGGGTAATAATCTTATGTCGATTATCCCTCTTTTCGCGTTAGTCAGATGCGCGATAATATCCATAAGATCGTTCGTTAGATCTTTTATTATGGCATTTAATATTATAAAGTGTTCGTCGAGATCTTCTCGTTGTCCATATCCGACTTCTGTTTGTATCCAGGCTTGTCGCATCTTCTCTGTTATATTTAAGAATTGTTCTTCATTTTCTTGCAGAACTTTTTCAACATTATCAACATGCGCAATTGTTGCGTTTAATACTTTAATCTGATTTTTCATCGCGTGCTGCAACGTTTGCTGATTTCTTTGCATGAGATTTAATTGCTCCTTTATAATTTTTTCGTCGTCTGCGTCCATTGTGCCGAAGAGTGTTTTGGCTATCGTTCCTAGACCATTGATTAGCCCTTGTCTTGTCTTCTTGGGTGCTTGGTACGCAAATTTTAGACGTTTTAGCAATTTTTCTGCTTGTTCTCTGTCCTTTTCTGCTATTTGTAGCAGGTTGTGGCAGGTTTCTTTCATTTTTATTTGCAATGGTTTATCGTAGCATAGAGCTCTCGTTTGTGCCATATAGTTTCTCAATTGTTCATGTCGATGGTCCATTGCGGCGATGTCTATTTTTATCACCATCTTCCATGTGGACTCGATTTGGTTTATCTCGCCCATTTTTTCGAAGTAGATACCCGGTTCATATTTAAATTCTTTTATTTCGACTTGGGTATCAGGTTCGGTTTCCTTACAGGTGCTCCGTGCAATAAGACTCCTGTAATAGAAAGCTTTGTATTATATTATAATATTTTCTTAGAATCATTTGCGGTGCATTCTCTTTTTCTCTGGATGCATATACAGCTATTTTTGCTTTTGTCTAGCCCTTTTCAGGCTTTTTATTCGCTCTTCCATTCAGTCCGTCTTCCGACGTCGTCTTGTATTGAGCGTTTCTTTTTTATTTTCTCTCGCGCTGTTTTATTATCGCTTTGTGTTGTCGATTGTTGGTTTCATGGCTCCGAATTCGAGTGAGTTTCGTTTCGCTGCGGGGCAGAGTTCAGTGCGTGATAACGGGCGTCGCGCGGGGCAAGATCCGGAGGAGCACGACCATTTTGCTCGCTCCTTTCGGGATCAACTCTCGGCGCCCGCGTTTGTTCGCGAGATCGATCTACTAGGTCTTCCAGATCTAGTGATTGACCGTGCCGTTGCTTTTGTGCCGGAAGTGGCTGTGGACGCTCTGCCGCCCCATTTTAATCGAGGTCGCGGGCTTGAGTTCCGCTGGGATCCGGCTCCTCGTTTCGTGGGACGTGGTTGGTTTCTCAACCCCGAGCCTCGTCCTGTGGGTCGTGGTCGCTTCCTCAACCCCGAACCTCGTCCTGTGTCGCCTCTTCTTCAGGCTCTGCGGGAGTGGAACCGGGGTCGCGGTGCTGGACGTGGAAGTGGAGGGCGTTAAGGTAGGAATTTTTTATTTCTGTTCCTTATTATTTATTCTATTTTTTATTTTATTCGCGCATTTTTCTGTTTCTTTTTCTTCTTTCTCCTACTTTTTTAATTTTCGATAAATGGTTTTAATCGATTTATGTGGACGCGTATGGTTTTCCTTCCCCTTTTTATTGTGTAGTTCACTTCCGAATTTTTTTCGATTATCGTGTAAGGTCCGGTCCATAGGGAGTCCAATTTCTTTGATCGTCCTCGGCGAACTGTTTCGTCGTACAAGAGGACTTTTTCTCCTACCTTAAGTTTAATTTCTTTAGTCTTTTTATCATAATTTTCTTTGGTTTTTATTTTTTCGTTCTTCAGATGCTCCTTTGCAACTTGCTGTGAGGCGCGTAATTTTTCTTTCAATTCTTGCGCGTAATCATCGTATGTATACGTGGGCTTAGGCGGTTGCGACAATGCCGTCGCAGGTGCTCCATGCAATAAGACTCCTGTAATAGAAAGCTTTGTATTATATTATAATATTTTCTTAGAATCATTTGCGGTGCATTCTCTTTTTCTCTGGATGCATATACAGCTAATTTTTGCTTTTATCTAGCCCTTTCCAGGCTTTTTATTCGCTCTTCCATTCAGTCTGTCTTCTGACGTCGTCTTGTATTGAGCGTTTCTTTTTTATTTTCTTTCGCGCTGTTTTGTTGTCGCGTTGTGTGGTCGATTTGTATTTTCATGGCGCCGAATTCGAGCGAGTTTCGTTTCGCTGCGGGGCATAGTTCGGTGCACGATAACGGGCGTCGCGCGGGTCAGGATCCAGAAGAGCACGATCATTTTGCTCGCTCCTTTCGGGATCAGCTTTCGGCGCCCGCGCTTGTTCGCGAGGTCAATTTACTAGGTTTTCCGGATTTAATGATTGACCGTGCCGTTGTTTTTGTGCCTGAAGTGCCTGTTGACGCGCCGCCGCCCCATGTATTCGTATAGAATACGTCGCTTCTCGTCTTCCGTGTATTCTCGCGTTATCTTCGTGTCGGTGCTCTCATCCTCCTCGATGCTGTTGATATCCGCCACGTGTCGACTTAGCGCGTCAGCGTTTCTGTTCGCTGTCCCGGCCTTATGTATGATCTCGTAATCGTGTTCTTCTAATTTTAATCTCCATCTAATTAATCGAGATCCAGGGTCGGTTACATTAAATAACCATACGAATATTTATGGTCTGTGACTATCGTAAATTTCGTCCTGTATAAGTACGGTCGAGAATGTTTAACGGCCCATACTATTGCTAATAGTTCCTTTTCGGTCATATTATAATTTTGTTCGGCTTTCGATAGTATTCGACTGGCATATGCTATTGGTTGATCTTGGCCTATTTCTCCTTGCGATAATATCGCTCCGATTGCATAATCTGATGCATCGGTCGTTACGATAAATTCTTTTTCGAAATCTGGGTATTTTAGTAAAGGTGCCGTCGTTAATTTTTCTTTAAGCATTTCAAATGCTTGTGGTTGTTCTTGCGTCCACTCAAATTAATTTTCCTTTCTGGTTAACTTCGTTAGTGGTTTCGCGATTTTAGAGAAATTTTCAATAAATTTTCTATAATATCCGGCTAATCCTATGAAAGCTTGAATATCTTTTACTTTCCTAGGCGTCGGAAAATTTCTTACGGCCTCTAACTTAGATGGATCCGGCGATATTCCGTTTTCTGTGATTATATGACCTAAGTATGTCACTTCTTTTCGTAGGAATTCGCATTTGTCCGGCTGTAATTTCAGATTGTTTTCTCGCAATCTTCGTAGGACTTCGATGAGTCTCTTGTTATGATCTTGTAGGCTGGCTCCGTAGATTACGATGTCATCCAAATATACTAGGCATTTTATTCCTTGTATGCCTATCAGTATTGAGTTCATTAGCCTTTGAAATGTGGCTGGCGCATTTTTTAATCCAAAGGGCATTCTATTGTATTCGTAATGCCCGTGAGGTGTGGAAAAAGCAGTTTTGCATTTGTCGCCTTCTTCCATCGGAATTTGGTGGTATCCGGATGCTAAATCCAGAGTTGTAAAGTACTTGGCGTTTCCAAGTTGATCTAATATATCCGTTATATTCGGTAAGGGAAATGAATCTCCTATAGTTAGATCATTTAATTTTCTAAAATCTACGACTACCCGTAATTTCGGTTTTCCTGACGCATCGGCTTTCTTAGGGACTACCAATAACGGTGCGTTCCATTGGCTCATGCTTGGTCGGATTATTTTATTTTTTAACATTTCTCGGACTTGTCGATTTACTTCTTCTTTATGCTTCTCCGGCAGGCGGTAAGGCCGTACGTTGACCGGTGAGCTATCTGCTTGCGTTGCAATCTTATGCGCGACGGTATCTGTGCACGTCAGTGGTTCTCCTTCGATATGCATCACGTCGCTAAAATCCTTGCAGATTTCCATTATCATTTTCTTTTCTTCTTTATTTAAATGTTGTGTACGTAATAATCGTAATACTTTTTCACTACGCGGGATTACTTCCTCTTTATTTGGCGTTCGTATTACGTTAATTTCTTCTGTTTCACTTCGTTCGATTTCCTCTACACTTACTTGCGGCATTAACATTTCGATTATGTTATCCGTTGTATTTAGAATGCTTGCTGCACATATGTAATTCGTAGGTTCTACTAGGCAATTACCTATAAATATTCCTGGTATTGTTTCTTCTGCCTTTATCACGCCTATCGTGTTCTTATCAGTAGCGACCTGTATTATAGTTTCGCTACGTGGTTTCAATGTCACTTTTAGATAGGGATAAAGCTTTAAGATATGCTGTCCTACCTTTAATTGCTTTGTTTTATAATTGCAAGTGGCTTGATGTTTTCGTAGGAAATCAACGCCTAGTATTCCGTCATATTCTATCGGAAAGTCATCCTTAACAACGTACATAGTATGCTTGATTCGGCGCTTTTCCAGAGTTATTGTCGCCTTAAATTTTCCAATTGTACATATTTTATGTCCCGTTACGCCGGTGAGCGTTATCTTTTCTTCTTTTATTAACGTTTCGCCTTTTAAATGTTTCACTTTAATTAGTGATATTGCGGCTCCTGTATCGAATAGCAAATTTATTTTTTCGCGTTTCGCTTCTCGCATTGGTAATGTGACAAGGTCCAATCCTGTCTGTATATGCGGCGTATTTTTAAAGTGTGATACTTGATATTCAATTGCAGGTCGGTGCGATTTTCTTTCGTTCCTTTCCTCCTCATCGCTACTTTGCGCGGAGTTAAATTTCTTTTTTCCTTGCTCGCTATTCTTGCGGTTTTTATTTTCCGGTCGCGAATTATATTGTTTGGTTCGGCTCGATTGATCTCTATTGGGTCGTCCGTGTAATAACCAACATTCTTCGCGATCGTGTCCGGATTTTTTGCAATAATTGCAATATTTATTTATCGTATTTACGCGGGGTTGTCTATCGGGTTTCGGCAATGAAAATCGATTCGCGTATCGGCTAGTTCGACAATCTCGACCGTAATGCCCGGTTTTTCCGCATTTTTGACATTTTACATTCGTTTGATTTTCCTGTTTATAGGTCGGTGTAAAATTGATTTTGCTTCGCGTGCCGGTCGCGGACGGTCCTTTAACCTTTTCTTCCGCGCTGGCCGCTGCTATTGCTTCTTGCAACGTAGCATATCCTCGCGATCGAACAATTGTTTTAATTTCGTCTTGCAATCCTATTTGGAAATTTTCTAAGGCTTGTTGCTGTATTATTTCCATGATTGCGCGTTTATTATCTACTGTATGATGACGTCCTTCCATCATCGATTCGTATAGCTCCATGGCTAGTTTGTCGGCTCTAAGTCCGTAAGTTCGCGCGCTTTCTCCGTTCTTCTGTTTTAGCGTGTTAAATTCAATTTGTAGATGGGTCGTACTCTTTTTGCTTGCGTAACAGACCTCTAATTCTTGTTTCAACTGTGCGAAATCTTGAATTTTACGCGTTTGAAAGTCTAGCATCGCTCTGCCTTTTAATTTCGTGCATAATACTGCTCCTAATAGCGTTACTTCGTCTAATGGGTCAATATGTTCTACTGCATATGTAGTCGCGCTCAAAAATTCTTGCAATTTATTTGGCGATCCGTCGAATTCCGGAATCATTCCGCGAGCTTCTTTTAATGGTAAAAATCCGTGTCCTCTTCGATGTCGTACATCTTCGGGTGTGGACTCGTACGCGGTTTCGGTTCTTTCTCCCGGCGGAGTTCTATGCTCATTGTTTTGTCGGGGTTGCGATCCTCTCATTTTTAAATCGTATATCTCGGCATGCATACTTCTAATTTCCCGTCTCATTTCCTCTCTCATTTCCCGCAATATGTCCCTAAGGTCGGCTGCTTCGTCCGTTTCTTTCCGCGGTTTGTATTGAGCTTGCGCGTTTGATTGTGTCGCGTTTCTATTTGCTTCTTCTTGTAATCGCTTAATTCCCTCATCGATATCTTCCGATGTGATGGGTTGCGATGCGGAAGCGTTTGAATTATACATGTCTCGAGTACGATAGATTTCGTCGGGGTCAAAGATACTTGAATCGTATGACGTTAGTGAGAATTCGCGGCGGTGTGTTAGTCTACTAGACGCGCTTATTGATGATTCGACATCAATATCTAGTTCTATATTATTCGCTATTAAACTGTTGTCTAATTCGCCGAATGAAAATTCGCGTTCGATTACAACGTTTGCTCCGAGTTCTGGTTCGGACAAATTCTCGCTTGAATTTAATTCATTTAGATTTCTTCGTACGTTATCGCGTATATCCCGGAGTGCTTCTACTGCTACTCTTATAGGGCTTACTGCGCTATTTCTAATGGCTCTATTCGCTGGTTCGCTAAATAGCCACGATTTATTCGCTACGCTTTTTTGTTGCGCGTTTCGGTTTTCCGACATTCACGCGTTTACAAATTTTTAATTGTTCGA